TGGGAAGATATTCTTCAGGTTGAATCGTCGCTGCATCCTGGACATTCCACTCATCACAACTGCCGAGGAACGGGACAGTTATGATTACAATAGTGACCTCTGACAAGTAACAGCAGCCTCTGATCATGATGCGGAATTAGCTCTGATCAAGATTTGCATAATCTTGCACCAAATTCCATGTTAATATGAATACACAGTGATATTTCCGACATGCATCCACCATCTGGAGCGTTAGTAACCTTACGACCAGAAGAACATAGTCAGAGGAAACTGGATAATAAGAATACCAGATAGAACTATAGCAGGTCAGTTATTCCTGAATAATTTTAGTTTATTTCCAATTGTACTAACAAATTTTCCGGGCAAATAGAAAGTGCATTTCAGACTTTAAAGGCTTATCAAGTTTCATTAGTGATCATATTTTACTATGTGGTCGGTTAATCAAAAAGTAGCACAAAGCACGTTACCACAAAGCAGAAAATCAACCTTAAAACGAGAAAAATGGAGACTGACCATTTGTTCTGTGTCTCTCTGATTTCAGTAAATTGAGACAGTCGATGCTGGTTCGTATTAGCTGATTCAACTGCAGTGAAAGTTACCGTTGTCATACCTCAATCGAAAACTGCAGTACGACGATGAAGAGCTCTTCGTTTCACAACAGTGCATTAGTTTACTGAAGCAGTTCGATTCATATTCATAAAGATAGGGAAGAAGTAAAATGAGGATATGGAAATCGATCATTTTGCAGCAACCTTTCATATCGTAGGTCAAAAACTGTGTACGTTTAAGTATGCTCAAATGTACCCAAAGGTTAAAGATCAAATGGTAATTAAATGTATGTCCTCACAGCCCACCACCCTCGTGCGGATTTCTCACATTTTCAACGAACTGCGGGTGAGGCGACCAAATAAGCGAGGCACGTTTATACCCAACCTTGTTCGTGGCTTCTGACTTCTTGGCGCCCACTGGGCAGACGGAGCCAACGGATTGCGATGAAAAAGCGTAATCGATTTTTGACGATGGTCGAACGGAAGGGTGTCCGCCGAAGGCTGTTGTCATTTACGCTTGTTGAGTTGCGATAGAGTGGCGAAGTATGAGAACGCGGTGGAAGGTAGTACAGCCGAGTTCCCTGCTTCGCTTGTTTGCTGTTTGCTCGCTGCTTTACTTGTTCTCCACGTAGCGGTTCCCTTGTTGTTTAGGGTTATGGTTGGCGAGTATTCAAGCAGCGAAAGTAGTTACGGGCTTCCGTCGGGAGCGAGGGAGCGAGTGTCTGAAACCGGAGGCCTGCAAGCGCCGACTGATTGGTTCGCCCCGTCGCCGGTGTGCTTCGGCCCCTGGTCGACAGACAGCCACGTGGAGCTGTACGAGTTAACGTCCGAAGGCGTCTGTTGCATGGCAGCTCCGTGGATGCCACGTCTTAACCTGTGCACGATGATACTGCAATCCATCCAAACGATTACAGATCTGAGATTGGTGGGCAAGCTTGCAGAATTGTTCTTCGACACTTATTTCGGTGACACGTTCTTGAAGAAGAGCAACGCACTGAATTGCCTGCGTAACATGGGATGGATGTATCATGTGAATACCGGCAGACTGGTGATACCGGTTCAGCAGCAGGCGGTGTTTACGGCTCAAGGTATTGAAGGCTCGTTCATCGTGTTTGACAAAGTCGACTGGTGTTTAAAGTACGTGCCGAATTTAGTCTTACAGTTCACTCCTCCTCATGTTCCTTTGTGTTGCAACCGCCCTGAAACGTAGGAAGCATTTGAGGTGACTGTGGTTGAGCGGTGTGAGGTGCCTTTCATTTAGCTTAATCTTTGTTTTCTAATCGAATTTAGCATCTGCTTAGGATTCTTTAAAAGCCATTACGTTGAAGTTTCATGATATCAAGTCTCTATTTGTCTTACTGGTTTTCTTTGCTGTGATTTTGCTAACGCCGGTTGCGAAGTAAAATGCTTCATTTCGCAATCGCATCGTTTGTAGATGCATTGTCTATTGCATGCATGGCTAATTCATCAATACAATTGGGGGGGGGGCCTTGTACCGGTGCCTAACGGTTGGAAAGGCCCAGCCTGCGACAGCTATCTAAAACATTCAATTATCGCCAAGAGCATGATCTGCGAAGACTGTCGAGAAGACGGTAGCAGCAGCAGCCAATGGATGACAATGGCCAGTTGATGTGTTACGTACTCAGCGAACCATGGGCGGCGACGGTGGAGACGGCGTTCAGCCGGTCAAAGTTCGTACACTCACATCGTGAGGTAGAACGTCGATGAACTGCGCGGCACAACTGGAATGCGGGGACTTGACCAGGCAGCCAGTCACCCTTTCTTATGCACATTACAATTACTGTCGCCCGCTGTCTTGCCTGCTGCATCTTAGCTGTTGTGTTTGTTATTTTGTCACCCGTCATCAAAGGCCAGCAGAGCTTGATCCACTGAGTGACGCAGATTTATAATTTATAAAATATTCCAGTTAGAATTGATATTCAAGATTGATAGTAGGCAACGTTCACTGCTGCGGCAAAGGCAATGTTCCTTATTGCCAACAGATCTGCCTGAACGAGGTATTTCCTTGAATTGTACTTTCTTCCATGTTTCCATGTACTCAGACATCATTAATCTGGATACGATGTTTTTGACCCTCATACGATGGCAACACGACAACAATAATTATCTGCTAACACGTCTGTGGTCAGTTGGCGGTTCCCACGCGAGAAATGCTTTGAATGCAGTTCCATTCTCTTTTTGAGCTATCTTCTCAAACCAAGCCAGGTGCCGGTCGCTGAGTTCATGTGTTGGTTTCTTCGGACCGGTGATTGTCAGCACTTGTTCGCTGTGATTCGGTGGCACCATTGCCCTCCCCCCTCCTCAGTTTCATAACACCTCAGGACGCCCATGGTTCGATACTCCACGTGAGCACCGCGAATACGGCTGCTTTCACAGCGGTGATCTTCGTGTCCTTCCTACAGTACCACTCTTATAGCGGTGTTGCACACGCTTTCAGTGAGTGTCGCTGGCCAACTTACGGAGTCGCTCAGCAACGCGATGATATCAGCCTCGTGAGGGTCAGTTATTAATGCGGCCGGACATCTGGATTTGCGTCGTTGATCAGCGGTCGGTCCGTCGTTGTACTTCAGTAGATTATTCTTGTGCATTACCATAGTTCACAATGGGCACCCCATGCAGCTTCCACGAAGAATTTCAAAACTTTTTTCGAATCAGAACCAAGAGGACAAATTTGAATTTTAGTTTTCCAGAATACGACCATCCCACTGAAGCCACTGGCGTGTCGTGTCTTTTTTTATAAAGTATAGCGTGATTTATGGTAATTAATTTGCAGGTTGGACATCTTTAAAATCGTAATTATCACATGTTTATTTAATTGCACTTAATTCAGAGCGTATCCCCGATCCTTTCGTCTGCAAAACCAAAATTCGTCTTCCTTGCCACATCTACTTCAACCGGCATCCCCAACTCTGTCAATGATTTTTCTCGTTTTCATCGATGTTGTCTCATTGGCATGACAACGTTATTCGTTGCCACTGTTAGAAGAGGTATCAACTGCAGTGGTAGAATGAAATAAGACAGCTGTTAAAAATAGCTCTTAAAAATATGTTCATACGCCCAAATACTAATGACGAGCACGCGAGCGCTATGCTGCCACAAATTTTGCTTTCCTGCTGTGAAACACTAAACAAAACATGGACAATTATGAGTTGAACTGATTCGTCGATACGCAAAGAGTCAGACCTGACAAGAATAGATCCAAAAATAGCTACCACACACTCTTTGATTGTTTATACAACGAAACGACATTTTCACTTTATATAGAGCCTTTTTTTCCGGCCTTACCACACACATGGAGGTTGTGACTCAGTCTAACAGCAATAAAGAAGTATATGAGTACAAAAAGTATATGAGTACAAAAGTGCAACCGGTAACTGAATCCACTTATATGGCAAAATTTTCCTGTGTAATCTGTGGTTCTTCAGTCTACGGGGATGAATTAAAGTGAGATATCATAAGTAAGAAACTGCAATTCATTAATAATATTGAATGAAATCGACTGCTGCAAAACTGTCTCCTTCGCCATCGCTTTATCTTGTAAGAAAGAGGAACTAATGCAGAAAAATTTTCAAGGTTTTACCAGAGTAGTTACCTGATTAATGTTAGCCCAATTTGACAAACGTCCAATACTGTGGTCGGCATGAAAGCCTCTCCTATAGGCTGTGAATTGCAAGAGAAAATTATGATAAGTTGATAACAGGCGCAGTACACAATATGATGACGATCATCAAATCGTCTATGAAAACCGGGTGAGAGGCAATCCCAACTGCAAATAAAATTTCACTTTTATATGAATATGATTTTGAATAAGGTACCACAAGGGCGATCATTTTACAAGCCTAAATTTCAAGAATAGATCGAATGCATCCTGCAAACGGAGATTTACAATTCTAAGAGTTGTGGTGAAATCTTTCGATAGTCACTCACACCTCTTTTATTAGCCAATTCGTACGACCTTCTGAGGATTTCTTTCAGCTGTTATATTCCATTGTAGGAATCAGGTGATTACCTCTTTTGCACTCGCAGATGGCCTTATCACATCATTGCGACTTGCTCTTCACAGCAAGAATAGCCAATGTAGCCTTGTTGTTGAAGATCCCTAACAGAAGGCAGCTACAGGTAAAGTCTGTTAAATATCATTCACTTACAAAAGCCGCCGTGGCAGAAAATCTAGTTGAAATGCAAATTAGTTCCATGAAATCCGGATACAGCGTATAAACTCTGAGGTTACGCTTAAGATCAGCCAATGAAGACGCCCTGCGTTACAACTCACTTTCCTTGCTTCCTATTTTTCACCAGTAGCGGCCGTCTTACTGAGAATACCTGCTGAAACGCTTTTCCACGCTGACAAAAATGAAAACGAATAAGGTGCGCTTGTTGGACCATACGAAGAGAATATAAATGCAACAGTAATCAACTAAATCACTACAGTGCTTTTAATGCATGATTTATTATTTTAACATGCAACTGGTTCATTATTAATCAAGATGCTGATGGAAGATTACCTCTGCACAACCTCATTATAGAGTTAATAAATACTGATTCGGTAGCCCCTAGAGCGTTTGCCCTTATAATGAGGTTCAGATGTTCCTAAAGGCCCTAGAAAATATTATAGTAGGATCCTCAAGTTTGAACCGCGTTCGCCACGACACTCCGAGGAAAGTAACTGTTCAGCATGACGTTGTTCATCTCTGTGTTGATTTCCTCTTAACTGTTTGTTGAGCATGCTCTGCATGCTCTTTTTTCACGCATTAAACCTCGGTTTCCGTTGAATTTTTTGATAGACGATATCATTTTTAATTCTGAATTTCAGCATTATGACTAGTTATGGTTTCATCAATGCTGGCTGCAGAACTGTGTTGTTCATGCACATGTGTATCAGGAATAATTTGTGTAACGATACGCATTTTGCACGGTCTTTGTTCGTTTTGCTAATTCTTCTTGCTGCTACTCATTTGATTGTTCACAACGACTCAGAACTTGATTATGCTATAGACGTTTTCGAAATTATCAGAGAAATTATGAACCGCTGAAATCGCTCCAAACAAAAATTTATTAATTTGTGTTTGTTTGAATGATTTTGCTATTTTATCGTGGCTTTTATGTTCCATATTCCTCTGCTTCTCTTTCTAGACGATAAATTCAGAATGCGTTTGAATGCATGAAGTTGAAATTATGGCTGGCGAATATAATTTTTTATCTCAATGTATCTTGAAATCCTCCAACTTTCTAAATCGATAATGCCTGCAATCCCCCTTTATGATACGATGCGTCAGGTTTAGCTACACCTAGAAATTTATCAACCTTCAAAATTCATTTTGTGACCCACTGTGATTTTTAAATGTTGCCGGCGAAAGCTACACTATGGACTTCTTATTACTTCCTTAACATTATGGTTGCAAACGAATCTCTGTGATTCAGCTATATATTTCATATTCACATTTAATTTGCCAAATCTGCTTAGTAAATATTAAATTCACTACCTTTGCGCCCTGTCTGGAGATCATATGGCGATTGGAAGGGTTTTGCCGCCGAAAGTGTTTGATTTGAATGCTGGTAATGAGCCGTGGTGAAAGGCCGTTAGCGTTTTTCCAAAAAACGTTTTTACGATTGAACTATTGATTGAACTTCTAGACCATCGTTCAGACCAATCAGCTGCTCTCAGCCATCTTTCTTCACAATGACAACGTACAAGCTTTATTACTTTGATGGACGTGGACGCGCAGAGCTGTGCCGTATATTGCTTGCCTACGGAAATATTGAATATGAGGATGTGCGCGTTTCTTCAGAGGAGTGGACGAAACTTAAGCCAAGTATATATATGTTCATTTTTTCGAACTTTTTATAACGTTTTGAAGCTATGCCTATGGGCCAGCTGCCGGTATTGGAACGAGATGGCGATATGCTGTGCAAATCACCGGTTATCGCGCGCTTCCTGGCTGATACGATCTGTAAGCATTGACTTTTTCTCTGATAAAAAAGTATATAGTCACATTTAGCCCTCAATGGGACAACACCGTGGGAAAAAGCAAAAGCTAGTATGCTAGTGCAAGGAACGTATGACCTGATGGACGATCTACTGCCGGTCATGAAATCCATGGTTGTCGTCGACAACAAATCATATGTAGGATATTACGTATTGTACGACGATTAATTCTGAGTGCGTTTCATATAACCTTCTAGGAATGAACAGAATCAGGGTTTTATTTATTATTTACGATTATCTTGATTTTTCGCTGGTTAATCATATTAAATTAAAACCCTGTGACAATCAGTGATAATATTTAAAATATGTTGTTAAGTTCCTCGCTAATTTCAGTGCATTACTCACCTTCAAACTGATTTATATTTGACAAATATAAGGTTTAACATATAGGTCATTTATTTCTGCTGACTGGCGATGCTGTCAGTATCTTTAACTGCGTTTTCACCAGCTTGTAGGTTGTTACTAGTACAGAATTTGCTCTAATCTCAATTTAGTAGGATTTAGGAAATCGCTCCTTCCCTAGTCCATCACCTGATAATCAGTCTGACACATTAATGCATACTTCCTTACGAAACTGAATGGACATCCGTTAATGGAGGAACGTAGTTCTGCATAGAACTAATACAACATGTTTCGCTGTGTTGTTGTTTTGTCATTGTCATCTAAGCAAGGCAGAACATCGGTCATAAATCACAGAATACAGCAGTTTATTACATCTCACATCTAGAAACAACATTACTTAATGATCTTAAGCAAAATGCTGCAGTATATTTGTCACATCAGGTCAGCTTGTAATGTTATAACCATTAATAAAGATTTCATTTAGTGAGTGGTATTAATGACTTCGTTCAAGAGGTTATGAAACGATAGGGAAGAGATTCGTTTTCCGCATTCTAGCTTATAACATTTATGTCCGTTCTTTCAATAACTTTCATCTATTCAGTTTATCATTACATTAAACGATATGATATGTTTATGTTACTTACAGGAAGAGGCATGGAAGGAATTTTATAAAAATTCACTGAAGCCGTTCTTGAAGCAATACCGTAAATTCCTGGCTCACAGTAAATCTGGATGGCTGATTGGACGATCGGTAAAACCTAGGACTTGATGATTTGATATCAGTTCTTTTATGGCTTATAAACGGCGACTTTGCACATTCATTTCAGCTCACGTATGCAGATATAGCCGTGGCCGAAACTCTGTCTTTGGTGACCGAATGCTACAACACTGCAGCACTGTATATGTTCCAAGACTTGGAATTCTTTATGAAAAGAGTCTTCGACTTTCCGGTCATCAAACAGTATATTGCGAATCGTCCAAAAGCTCTGTTCTAATCAGATGTTTGCTGACCAAAGAAAATGAATTATTTTGCCAA